TGAACCATGTTCTTTCTCTCTCTCTCTCTACCCTGCTTGCAGAGGCTTTTTCTAACCCTCCCTTTCGGTAACCCTTAACAAGGTGCTGCAGAGCAGAAAGTGAGTTAGATGCAGGTTCTTTCAGGAAATTCTGCATTATGTCTTCTCCTCCAGATTACTACAGAAGGCAGAATGACCATTATCTTTTCCTCTTCCTGGGTAACAATCAGCTCCGTTTTATTTTGTTGTTGTTGAGCATTGCTTGGTCTATTCATTCTCTGTCATTTATCTAAGGAGGGAGCTGCCCTTTCCCTCCTCTAAGTACCCCCTAATATTATAGCCTAGTGAATGTAATAATAAATAATAACTTCTACTACTCATTTTCAGTGGTTTAACTGAGAGTACTTTGGAGTAGCAAGTTAAGCATCATTACTCCATGTATATCACTGGGAAACTGGATTACACAGAGGGTGAGTGACTTGCTTAAAATGTTCCAGTTTTTCACTGGAAGAACCAGAAAACAAAACACCGGTCTACTGATTTTTCAAGGCAGTGTCTGGGGGTGGAAAAATAGATTGGATAGGGATTACAAGTTTATTTGCCATGTGACAATTCCATAGTTACTCAGAGCAGCTCCTCAGGATCTGTTGAGGCTTCTCAGGAGTCACTGATATTGAGATGTATTGTGCATTAGTCATTGTACATGGTATTGTTTCTTTAAATGTGGCTAGGCTGTGTGCCTCCTTTGTGCACCATGCTTTACATTCAGCTTTGGGTACTGTTTAGAATAGTGAAGCTGCCAGCCATGTAAACTGTGTGGTGCTCTCTCTGTTAGTCTAATCTCTTCACCAGTGGAACTCACGAGATATAACAGATACGTTTGAAGCTTCACAGATAGTCAGTCTTATGTCACAAATTTGACTTAGTCAAGATTTGACTTCATAATTTGAGTGTCCACTTAGACCAAAATCCGCTTCCCTCTCTAATGCTTTTTTTCTCTATTGTGTTGACACCAAGAGATGGATTCTTCTGCTACTCCTTTGTCTTGTTTCCATTTGAAAGAGCCTGAAAAAAGACAATTAAAAGAATTCTTTGTGACGTGATTGCAAGATTATACAAGTCCTTGTGATCTTACTGTTATTTTTATTGGAAACAATGTACTATGCCTATTACATAGAGAAGTTCTTGTCATGTTATTTTAGTCAGATGTGTGTGAAGTGGATTCATGTGTATAACTCTTGGTATTGTGGTTATCGGGGATCTAGTTTAAGAACTCCTTATCACATTTGTTCTTGACTCAGTGACTTCTGTACCAGTGTATTGGTTGTGAAACTTGGGTATCACAAGCAGAATAAGGAAGGTAATAATACTTGTGTAAATGGTCTTATTATGGCCATTCTCTGGAGTATACCTGTATAGATTTCAATACCCCATTATGCTAATGACAAAGATAAATGAAAGAATCCAGAGAAGGGCAACAAACATGATAAAGAGATTAAAAGATATGACCTTGATCAGAGGTTAAGGGAATTTAATAGGTACAGCCTGGAGAAAAGAATACAAATAGGGAATGATATGATAAGGGTCCACAAATATTTGAGAGGTAATTATATATAGAAAAAAGATAATGATTATTTACAGTGCTTTTGAGGTAGCATAAAAAGGAATAGCAACTTGGAACTAAAACAGGCACAATGAAGGTAGAGCAGGCATGTCTGTCTAGAATAGCATGATATGTTTGGACTGACCGGAGCTCCTTTACTCTGCCTTCTCTCGTAGAGTGGTAGCATTGGAGTGTTGTTGTAGCCATAATGATCTGGGTTATATGCAAGAAGAAAGAGGTTTTTTGGGGTGATCTCTCTCTAACATCTCTTCCCAACAATACAGTCAGTCCAATAAAAGATATTGCCAAAAAAACTTGCACTTGTTCAGTGCAGTCAAGGATGTGTAGACTAGAATTACTGGGCTACCTCTTCTTTTCTGCTGGGCTCCTAGCAATCGGGGAGTTTCAGGCAGAAGAGAGAAACAATCCAATCCTTCTGCCTATTTAAGGAAAGTAACGCTGCCTAGTGGTGTCAGACCTGCCCCAGGGCACAAAAGAGGAACAATTAGGGATAGAGAAATATGCAAAGGACAGTATGGTAGGGTCTGAGTCCAGAATCCTAGATGCAGTACCAAGCAACAGCCTATTTGGGGGGAAATATCTGTTCTGGAGAAAAAGAGAGACAGTCAGTATGTTCCTTTAGAGAAAAATGTCATTAGCCTTTTAAGGCGTGTGTGCACAGCACTTTAAAGCAGGCTAAATGCTTTTGCACCCCTTTTAATTGTGTCGGTGTTTGCACACCTCAGTGGCATATTGCACATTAATTCCAGCTGCTGTAGGAAATTCGGTGGCATAATGTGCCTTAAATGACATGGGGTTCAGCAAACTAAAACTCCTTCAAGGAGTTCTAGTTTGTTGCCCCTACAGCCGCGGAGCAAAGCACTGGGCTCCGTTCACCTCCACAGCTCTGCAGGAAGCCCTGCAGGCAGCCTGGCAGCAGCCTGGAAAAGCAGACTCTGCCCAAGAAAAGTGGTGAACCTGATTCTCCCCTCCCCCAAGTCTGCCTGCCTGCCTGAGCTGCACGGGGCACCAGTGCTTCCCTCCATGGCTGCGGTGCTCCCTAGGACCACCTGAGCTGGGTGTCTGCAGGCGGGTGCTGCCTGGTGGGGCGGGGGGGTGCCGCTGCTGCAGAGGGAAACACTAGGCCTCCCCACCCCTGCAGCCCAGGAACTGCTCTGCCTGCCGGCAGCTCTCCTCCCCCAGAGAGGCCGGTAAGTTAGTGGGGTGTGTGCATGACACCGGGGTTTAATCAGCCCTAAATTGAAGTGGTGTTCTTTAAAAAACACTGTTTCAATTTAGGGCCCCTGTTTCGTCTACACACACCCTTAGGCTGCTTACTCTAAACACAATATAGTTTTAAATCCTCCTTGTCTGGAAGCAGAAAGTGCTGTAGAAGAGCAGCTTCCTTCTGTCTAATTTTCCTGTTTATCTCTCATCCTTATAATTGAATCTAACTCCTTCCTTGACTTTGAGTTTGTGAGGGAACTACTCTGGGTACTAAGATTCCTGTAAATAAAACAGGAATCACTTGCTTTTCTAAAGGGAAGTGGGATGTGGTGGAATTGTCTTTGTGATGAACAGTTGTATCCCAAGTGGTCTGTTCATCCATTTGCACCCTACTCCTTCAACACATAACTCAGCTACAATATTTTTCCTGTTCTATAGATATATATCACCTATGTAGTGCACTGCATGGGGAGAAGATAAACCTCATATGAGAACAAAAAATAATAAAAATAGAAAACAAGACAGGGGAAAAGGAGACAGAAAAGTGTGTGTTGTGGGGAGGAATTGGGGAGAGAGAGAGAATGGTCACAGAAGTGTAGACAAAGGATCTGTACCAGAGCACAGTAGTAGGAGGTGGGGTAAGATGGTCTAAACACTAAATTACTGATCTGTTTAAAAGTTGCCATTCTTGCTGTGAGCCTTGAAAGCCAACAAGCTTTGGTTCTGTTTATCAATGGGTAAGGCAATTCTGGAATCACACAAACTCTGAAATAAAAGTCTTTCCCAGTTCCCAAAGTGTATACATCTGGGACCTAACAGCACGGGTGGCCAAGTGGGTTTTAATTCCTGTGGAGAAGCATTAAGACAAATGGGTTTCCAAGTTACACATGACTTAAAGCAGTCAGATTTAAGCAATGACTCCATAATATGTTTTATTAATTTAATGCTTACTGGTTTTAATGTGGTTTAAGTTTCTGGGTTCTGTGTTAACGCCAGACAAAAACCATTAGAGCTGATCTTTTAGGATCCTCTTATTTCACATCTCTTAAATGTTGAAGAAAAATTTCTTCAGTTTTTTCAAGGGTCATATGCAAAACACATTTTTCTGTTGGACTTTTTGCTTATTGTTCTTTCTTTATATTTTTGTATTGTTCTTGCTTAATATCTTGATGTTTATGAGTAACATGTTATAAATGATCAATTTAAAAATCCTTAAGAAGTAGGTGAATAGAATTGACTGTGCTAGTAATCAATCTGGCTTATTTGTTTTTATTACTTTTTTTTTAGGAATGCTGTCTTTGTAATTTGAGAGGTGGCGCACTCAAGCAAACTACAGACAAGAAGTAAGTAGTGGATATATAGAGGCCAAACTAATTAATTTTATACTCTATTACCATGCCCACTCCCATACAAAGAAAGCTTCCACATGTAATTATTTCAAAATGTCCTTTTAAGTTGAATTATTGCAGGATAAGTGTAACTCCCATTGAAAACACTGTATTGTGCCACTGGCACTTTGTGAGCATACTCAGTGTGCTAAAAAATAAAAATCTTTTTATTATTTGCGCATGCTTACCTATTCCAAATTCCATTCTGCTGGTCACTGTATAAAGAAAGCAAATGAAAGCTCATTTGTCATTGTTTGCATTGGCAAGCCTTATTGTACAGGGAAGTGTACTTTCTTCTTTAGTCCTGGAATTTTATAATTCTGGTATTTAACACAGTACTTCTGAACTTTTTTTCAGACACGGGCATTTACTGTATTGTTCTGCTGATAAGTTGATATTTTTTCCTCAAAAAGAACCATAAAAATCACATTAAACCTGTATGCAGGGATGACCTAGGATCAGGCCAATGTATTAAAGAATTAATCAAATTGAATCTTATTAAAATGGTCCTGGGTCTTGAAGTAGTTAGTTTTATTGTATTTATGTATGATAATCACTGACAACAGACCAGTAATAACAGATGTTTATTCTTTATCATGTTGATAAAATCAAGGGAAGGATATTATTAAATATCTTTAGAAGATTAAATGGAAAAAGAATTTCTTCAAGTCCAGCTGTAGAACAAGCTCCTATGTGTTTTACATCTTTGCTTGGAAATATTTCCTTTAACTATACCAATATATTATGGACCTTTTTTCATTAAGCTTTGAATCACCAAAAGTGAATCTAGTTTGGTGATCTAAGTTCATCAAGCCCAAACTTCCTTTCAGTGTTTGCCTGCAGTAGTTTTTTGACCAATGATCTGCAGTTAGTCACGTGTTATATGGATGAATGGAACCTTTTCACTTGTGAACTTCTGACAGTGATTTTACTTTCCAAATACATTGATACACTTCTATAAAACATCGAATTAAATATCTATCTATCTATCTCCCACACATCACATGAAACTAATAACATGCTATTTAGATCCAGTCTAAACCATGTATCAAAATGTTTGTTTTCTGTTTACCTTTTTACTAAGCTGCACAAATGATTTAAACAGAGATCCTCCCCCTCCAAAAAAACCCCCAAATCCCAAAAAACACAAGGCAACCAGCATACATTCCTGCCTGTGGCAGGGGGTCAGGCTAGATGATCTGTTCAGGTCCCTCCTGACCCTAGCTACTATGAAACTATAAGACAGTGTCACCTGACTAAAATGCAGCATGCCTGCGCAAGGTAGATCCCATGCAGCATGTTTTGAAACACTTGTATATTGCTTTTATGTACATTTCTTAAAGATAGAAACACATCATCTGCTGGTAGTTTCAATGTGCACATTACAAAGAGTGACTTTTGGTTCGAAGTCTGCAGCTTTATATTATGCCCTATTGTTGGCTTCTGTTACAGAGTTAGGGAATGGTGACTCTGTACAAGAAACCTTAACTACTATATAATAAATTACACTTGCTATGCCCCTTTGACTCCCTCTCTTGCACTTGATCCAGAGTGTCATGCATTTGGACACTATGCACCCCTTCAAAACCCTAAGCATTTTCAAATCAGCTCGCCACAAATATGTCTTTTTTTTTTTTAACCAAGTTGTAGGATCCCTCCTTACCCTTAATGATGAGATCATCATTAAGGGTAGGAAGGGAGGTCCAGGATGGACCTAATTTGCAACAGATTTAAGACCTAATGATCCTTGAGTGCTGGGAGGCTGAGAACTTGACTGTTCAGGAGAACTGATAACTCCTTTGTCAAGTCTGATACAGGCCTTGCTTCAGATCTTGGTAGTCTGACATACCAGATAAATCTTGTCCTAATGATTTATAGAAAAGCTTTATAATTGCATCACTTCTGTGCCTTCCCCCCTGACTCATTGTTAGACAGTTGGTGTGAAGGTTATCTGGCTTTACTGGCATGTGTTTATAAAAAGACTGTATGAATTAAAAGAAAGATTAAGTGCATCTAAAACAATATTTCTGTAAATTGTAACATAAAGAAAATATTCTTCATAAGAGTCTGATGTGGCATAAAGTCTTTATAGGCACTCATTTGCAATGACCTGCATAACTCATGAATGGCTGTCATTTTTGAGTACTGTTCCCATATCTCACTCTTGCCAGTAAAACTTTTATACCACACTGCACCAGCACACCTTGTTCCTGTATATTACCGTAGCCTTTTCTAAATAGTTTTCTCAAATTTGAATGGCTGAAATGGTATTGCACCGTACTGCAGCAAAGAATAGATTCTGTTGTGCTGCTCCTCCTGAAAAATGTGCTAGCCCTCATTCCTGCCTCCTGTGGACCTACTGAGACCCTCATTTTCTGCACATCTCAGGAAATATTAAAAAATTAGAGCCGCTTTAATGGGCCTGGTGGGATAGCAACAAAGGATGCATAGAGCAAATATTAAGAGTTCGAGTCAAATTGTTCACCCTCCTTCAAGTCTTAGGTTCATTACCATCATTTCTCCTGTCCCCCTTGGATAACTTTGGAGTCTCACTGAAACATTTGCTAAGCTTCAGTTGACCCCTTAGTCCTCCTCAACAAAGCTGTACTCTCAACTTCCATTTTAGCCTAACAAAGGGATATATGGGGAGAATATCTATTTTGCAATCCCGTACTTCAAGTTTGTGGCAGTAAATCATACGAGTAGCTAATATAAACAGATATAGCATATGGTATTTTACCAGAAGACTTCTGAAGTTGCTGTAAAGTAGGTCTAGGTTGATTTCTTAGTTATATGCAGCATTGATCCTAGGTGTCCTCAATTGCCTTCATCACTCTCAATGAATCCAGTTCACAGGTGGCAGTATGAACACTGCTAGGAGAACTGAGCATCTCTTGCACTATTATGTCAAATTCTGATAGGATAATAAGGCTGTTTCATTCTGCTCTGACTCTATGCTCCTTTATCTGGCAGCACAACTTGCTGTTAGTGTAACTGGTTGCTACATTTTGGCAGCTGAGTGCATGAAAGCGAATATGTGGCTAGTTTAAAAGTACCTGCTATGATCTAATTAGCATTAGTCCAGAAAGCTGCAGGTTAGACCATGCATTGCTTACATGTGGAAGATAGTGACCATATGTGCAAATATTGTTGTCACCACTATAAAAAACCTTTGCAGTTTATAAATAAAGTATAAATGGCACTTTTCAAAATTTAACCTGAAGGGGTATTTACAACAGGCAGTGTTAACATAAGGATTTCTCTGTAAGATTGAAACAGAACATTTCTGTCAAATATTTCCCAATCTAGACTGATAATTCTTATTCAAGAACATTTCTTCTTGCAATCTGTATGTAAGTTTTATTTGAATGGCAGGAATTGCACACAATATTGCCATCAATTTTGTAGGACACTTCATTTAGTATATTGTGCAGATCTTTTCTTCTCTCTTTATTGAATTTTCAGATAATTTTCTAATGCTGCATAAACATAAATTGTAAATATAAGCACTATTTCTTGATCTTGGATTTAAAAAGGAATTTGATGGAAGAAAGATTGGGTAGTTGATACTTTAGTTTCATTTGAGGCATGGAATCTTTTTAACTATATCATCTTTGTAAATATTTTTTGATGACACTGACCTACCACTTTTCACAGGTGGGCACATGTGATGTGTGCAATTGCAATTCCTGAAGTCAGATTTCGAAATGTCACAGAACGGACACCTATAGACACTAGTAGAATACCTTTGCAGAGATTAAAATTGGTGAGTAGTATGGCTCAGTTAATTACATTTATAGATATTGCGCTGTTTTGAAATGTGTATAAAATTCTATATATAGTTAATATTAACTATTGCACACTTTTTATTTCAGGGAAAGAATAAATAATCAATATCAGTTAAACTGGAATTTCTCATACGTAATAGTGGGTTAGATATTTTCATTCTTCATCATTGTTTTGGCTTATGGTCTTGGGTAAATAACTTTTGCTCTAGGATAAAAGAGAGTGAAACAATGAGTAGTTTCAATCACTAAGCTAAAACTACTGGGGCTGCTCATTGAGGATCCAGCTGTAACCCAAGTAAACCAGCATATCTCAGAACTTGTACGATTTTTTTCGTGAGGTATTTTTGCCTTAAAGGGAACCTTTTATGGAGTTAAAATGATAAAAGACCTGGTGGTTGCATTATATTTTTACCATCTGGGAATTGAAAAATATGCACAGATCAAATCACATGTTATATTGGACTAATAAATGGCTCCCCAAGGCATTGAAAAAGGCAAGACACAAACACAAATGCTTCAACTACAAATACTAGAACCCACATATAGCCCCCATATAACCCTGTCATTATACATTTGCCCTGGATTAGTGAGAAACGTGTAAAAGCTTATGTCAAAGAGAATATTCCCTGCTGAGTTAGACCTAATTACTTAATTTGCCAGACTGTACTTCAATGTGACATCATCTTCCTCTGACAAAAGGAAAATGATCCCCTGCCCAATATTTTAAAAATATTTGGAAAATAACCCTATTTCTTCTCTTTGTCCACTCCATAAGTAATTGGAGGAAAGGTTGCTGTGCTGCTTAACCTGAAGATAATCTTTAATTGCTCCAGCTTTGTGAACTATTCTTCTTTTAATTTATCTGCTATGCCTTATATTTTATAACCGTTGGAGTTGGCCTCAAATTCTTGGTCTGAAAATACCAGTTTTGGAAGTACTAACTATAAATAAGATGATCTTCAATTTTGATGCCTCTAAATAGTTACTTATATTATGATAGTAACCTAGTTGGTAATTGTTAATCCAGTAGCTATTTTCAAGGTATTGTGGAATTGAAATGTGAATTTGCCTCCTGTGACTTGAACAATAACAGAATAGTAAGAGTCTTCTGGAAGACGGCTTGAATGAATTTTAAGTTAATTAATTATTAATTTATTAATGTAGTTATTGTTTTAAGAGGCAAATTGCATGGACTTTTGTGAAGTTACACGATATGCAAAGTTGTAGGCCATCCACTGGCTATCAGTTATCTGCAGATCACTGATAGTCTTAAACACCTTTCTATCACTGGAAGCTTTTTCTTTTGTTTCTTTTGTTTTTCTCCTTCCATTTATGTATGGTTGAGTACATTTCTCTCAAACTGTAAAAACTCTCTTAAATGTTTTCATAGTACGAAGCCACCAGTTTCCATTAGGCTATGTGTATATTGCTGGTGCTCCCCCACTATGAATTGCTGAATTTTTAGATGCATCATTCTGCCTTCCTTGGGGCTTTTTAAAATTTTTTTTTAAAGCAAAGGGGCTGCATTACGGATGTTATACCATATTTACCCAAACCCAAGACGACCCTGAATTTCAGACAACCCCCTAGTAATTAGATCCTATACATGGAGAATTTATAAATTTACAAATTTTCTATGTATAGAATCTAATTGGAGGGCCACCTTAAAATTCATCCCCACTGCAGCGGGAAAAACAGTAGTTGGGGGCCCATGTCAGACAATGGCTATCAGGTGATGGGGTGGGGAACAATGAGGGACAGGCAATATGGGGAAAGCAGCTTGGCCTCCGCTTCCTCACTTACTGTTCCTTGTGCCTGCTTCTCCCTGCCTGCCCCCTCTGCTCCCCCACAGCCTGGATCCCACCCTCTTAAGTCTCTGTCATCTTCCTGCCCCTTCCTCTCCCTCCTCCCCCTCTTCTTACCTCTGCCTATTTACCTTTTCTATGGGGATGGAGCCTGCCAGTGCCAATCTAGCCTGGGGCCACCTTATACTTTATTCTAAGATGTGAGGCTTTCCCCCACCATGTTAAATGAGAGGAAAAAACATCATCTTGGAATTGAGTAAATACAGTAATAAAGAAATTCAGAGGAATACAATGAAGGTGGAACCATGACACATCATAGTGCCATAAATGTACTATTGCAGACAGTTTACTTTATTGTAATCTCAGTTGAGAAAATTAAACCTTGCTTTTCCCAGCCTGGGTTAATTGCATTCAATTTACAATGAGTGACAATTGTTCATACATCTCATTAGTAAATCTAATGCAGGTTCATCGTGCAGTTCAACCTTCCTAAAAGGTTTTATAATGATTTAATATCTGTAGCCAATACACTGCTGCTACTTGAGAGATCAGCAAGCAACAGAAGAAATAGGCAAAGTTCTCTTAACTTCAGCAGCCTGCTGATGCTTTAAAAATGAAGAATATTACAAAACTCAACTGTTTTATTTAGTTTTTAGCATACTCATATTCATAGGAATTTTCCATATTAGCTGACAAAACTATAATTTTTGCCTTGTATTGCTTTGGTAAAAAATTATTTTCAGAGGTTTCTGCTCAGTGCCAGGGGTACAGCATTTTAAAAAAGATTGGACGTTGCCATGATCAAGTTATTTTATCATGTTGTCTCTTTAAATCCAGGTAGAGGAAACATTTAACTGCCAGCTCATTCCTTATATCTCCTGGCTTCTACTTACAACATTCAGATTTTTATCAAAGGGTGAATTGTGCAAATAATGTCCAGGAGATTGTGTCATGATAGTTTTTCATTAGACAAAATAAATAAAGATAATGGAAGAAGAACCTTGCAAAGAGACCCTCCTTGTATGAGTAGTCACATGCTGCCATAGGCAATCTTTAAAAAGCGTCTCAACGCCCATCTTGCTGGGCCCCCTAACAACTATAAAACTATGAAATAGCATGTCAGTAGAGATGTATTAGTGTACTATGAAAAATTACTGAGTTGTTTCAAGTGAAAAGATTTCTCAGTTTGAGCAAGGCAGTTGGATCCTATAGATAAAAGACTGAGGTTATGAATTGTCATAAAGAGATTCAGGTCTGATAGAGCTATTTAGCAAATTTGGCATGCTATTTTTTTTTTTTAAATGGTTGGGGTAGGCATCATACCAGAAAATGAAGGTTAAGAAATGCAAAGAAAAGTATTTCCTTCTATTCTGGAGGGTTCACTTGAAGTAAAAACAAACAATATTCCACCTCCCTGCAACCCCCCCCAAAAGACGTACCTTTTATGTAATGCTGTAATGCAAACCTTCTCAGACCTTTGAGTACATGAGACAATTCTGGCTCGTTTCAATTTTAAGAAAGGAATCATGGAAAATAATGATAGAAACTAGGTAAAAACAAACAGAACCAGCTGAGAGTAGATTTTCACCTCTTATTTCCAAAGATCTGCAGTGTGAGTTGACATCCCCTCTATGCACTATCCACCAATATCAAAGAATATAAGAAGTCAGTGTTTGCCATTTAACAAATTAAACAACATCTGTGCGAAAATGGTTGACTCTCTTTATTATTCAGCTAGTATATATATGGATCGCTGTTAGATAGCTTTTAGCTCACAAGGCATTGTGGGTCAGAATCAATGTGTTTTTTATATCAGTCTTCATATCATGTAATATATACCAGTACAGTATACACTCATTCCCTCCCAAGCAAATAGTATTTGTATTATGTTTACAGTATTATTTTGCACAACTGCTTTCTATTTGCACATTAATGGGTTCATCTAGCCAATTTATTTAGTTGGTTTTAGATTTTATATAATGTCAAAATGTCTTTATATTACTTTGCCTCACATTTAATATGTTGTTTATTTCAAAGAATTTCTATGTTGCTTAAAATTTACATGCCATGCTAACCTTTTCATTATAAAATAATGTTGTCAATCAAACCACAATAATAAAATACATTATATGCTGTTGAATAATAGGATGATGCTGTGTTCACCAACAGTAAACATGTTTGAATGATAGGGGCTAGAAATAATAGTTTGCACATTCAGTGTTATATTGTGGGCCTGATTCCACAGTCTTACCAATTTTATGTTGTTGCAACTCATTGACTTCAGTAAAGTTACCACTGGTTTTGAATAGAATGAGAATAGAATAGAATCAGCCCCTTCTGTTTTGTTATCACTGCTGCTACTACTATTGGGGGAGAGGTTTTATTTTCCCCGTAAGTTTTAGGTTTTGCAGCTGTTCTTAGGGTTTAAAATACCCTTCCTAAAACAGTGGTAAACTAGGAAGAAGTTTTAAATCAAAATTTTGTGGAAGAGTGGAGCTTGTAGTGTTTTTTCTTATGTTTGCAAACATGAGCAAAAATAGTTACTGAAGGTCTCATCTTGGAACATAGGGTGTGTAGACACAAACATGGGGTGCAGACAAACAGTTGAACTGTTTCAACAATGTCACTGATTGGGAACTGGTTCATGATTGTCCCTGGAGAGAAGGGTGCACACGCATGTGGCTAAGAGTTCTAAGTAGAACCTTCATCTTTTAGGGATGGCACTGCTGCCAAAATGCTACCACGCAGTGGTAGAGTACCCAAACTATTCTGCCTTCCAGGGGTCAGTGCCCATAGGTTTCTCCAGGATTCCTCTAGAGAGGGTGGAAGACCTGGATTAGGGTATGGAGTTGGAGCCTGCAGTGGGCAGGCTACAAACAGCTGTGCCGGGCTCCACAGCTCTGGCATCAGCTCTGTGCTGGCAGCAACTGCGCGTGCACATTGGGGCGGGCTGTGCTGCCCTGCTGTCTGCCCCAAGGTGGGGCTGGCCATGGTATGCCGAGCAAAATGGCCTTACGTGCCATGCTCGGCATGCGTGCCGGGGGTGGCCAAACCCTGCTTTAGGCAATAGGTCTTCAGGCAGTAGAGTCTTAGATGCATCCCAGAGTAGCCTCATTGCCCTGCATATATGTATAGGGTTGAGAAGTGGTACAGTTTGGGATGCTTAGAGGACT